AATAATAATAATAATAATAATAATAATAATAATGTAATAATAATAATAGCAAGTGATGCACAGTACAATTGCTCACCACCTGCTGACTGATGCCCAGCCAGTCCCCGAGCAGCGGCCCCCCTGGCCAGCTTCCCCCAGTTTATGTACTGAGCATGACGGCACATGGTGTGGAATGTTTCTTTGGCCAGTTTGGCTGTGCCCCCTCCCAGCTTCCCGTGCCCCTCCAGCCTTCTCAGTCGGTAGAGCATGGGAAGCTGAAAAGTCCTTGGCTAGTGTAAGCACTACCTAGCAACAACTAAAACACCGGTGTGTTATCAACTTTGTTCTCCTCCTAAATCCAAAACACAGCCCTGTACCAGCTACTAGGAAGGAAATTATCCCTGCCGAAACCCGGACAGATGATATAACTGAATCCATTTTATTTGTGAGCTCCCAGATTTGCACAAAACACACATCTGTATTCTTCAGGCACTTTTAGACTCCTTTCTCCAGGGCTGCAGCACTCACATGTTTAGCAGCCCTGTTACACATTCTTGCAACCCACTGAGACTTCAAATATCCAGCTGGGCTGACAGAGCACTCTGTAATTGTTGCTGCTAGCAACAAGGGGCCACTGTGGCACCTGCTGAGCCAAGCGGCCTCTCTGCTTCTTGTCTCATTCTTTCCTGTGATGGAGCTCAACTCAAAAAGTTCAGCCAGAAAAAGAAGGCAACAGCAGCATCAAGCCAAGAGAAGTGGCAGGAGAGGGAGGTAGAGGCTTCAGATTCACCCAGAAGTACATTTACTCATCATCCACCCACGACGACACAGCTGCTGAGGTTCTTACAGCTTGTCCCAAGTCTTATCCCAAGTCTAGCTGGGAGCGGGTGTGCAGACAGAAGTGGAAGTTTGTGGTTATATGTACGTTTTGTTTAATTCAGCTCATTAAATAATTACAGAGAGTGAAAGGAAATCGCTGCTTGTGGGTCATGCCAGATTTACCGTACCTTTGTCTGAAGCTCCATGCCTGTAATGCCACCAGGCTGGCACATGACACATTATCAGCTCATCAGTACTAACCCAGGCTCTGCGAAATACAGACTCTCATACAATTAACCTTACATCTACCCAGCAAGAAAGGCCAAAAGAGCCTGGGAAGTAACCAACTAAGATTTTTGTTGAGGTAAAGGAGAAAAAGGATGGGAGTCAAGAGCTCCTAAGTATGGGTTCTGTCTCTGCCATTAACTAACCAGGGGCTCGAATCAACCATCTGCCTTAATAGTCAGGCAAGAACAACTACATCCTTTCTATCACAAACTCAGATTTTTATTATTTAAACTGTCTAGGCTATAACAAACTTTCCTGAGAAAAGCTTCTTGATGGTCCACTTGGGGTTAACTCGTTTATGTCACCACAAATAAGAAACAGTTAAAAAGCAGAGGGCTGAGTGCCCCCTCACAGCAGCAAGGTGTTGCATTAAGATGACATATGAGTTGCAGCTCCCAGCTGACTTGGCACCTTAATTTCTGCAAAGAGCAGAAATTCTTTAAGCATACAAATTTCACATACATTTTCAGAGAAAGTTTTCAGGCTTCCCAAGTTGCTGTATTTTGTTTTCTTGATGTTTACTGAGGGCTTTTAATAATGTCTTAGGTTTCTAATTAAAGGTTATTTGACACTTTTGGTCATAGGTTGCACAAATTGTTTTGAGGCTTCATTCTGGCATACTTTCCAAGGAAGTATTAGGGTTTTCTACTCTTAAGAAACCATTGCCACAAAAGAAAAAACACCCTTACAGCTTAGGAGAATATATGATTATACAAATTATTCAACTTTATTTATGCCCAAAGCCATGATAAAACCAGTTCATATGGGACATGGTCTTAAGAGGAGCTATTTTTCTGAGAAAGGACATAGTGGTGACATGTTTCTGAGTTCAGGGAGTAAGTCTATATTCTGGAAAGTGCATCAGTCAGGCCCAGTAGGGTTATGAATACAGAAAGTCATGCCTTCAGGGTTGGAGGAAGTTAACGTTATCTTACAAGCTCCCTCTCTCTAACCACTGATTAGCATGTTTTTTATTGGCAGGGATCTATATATATCTGTCAGAGAGCTAGACGTCTTTTGAGCAGGTCAACTTGCAAATCCCATTCCTTCTCTCTTTTCTAGAGGGCTTAAGCTGCAGTCCTTATTGACTCCCATTAGTCCTGCTCTTCCTTGTCGATGTTTAGCCAGCATTCATGATTCCTCCTCTACTTTTGTAGGAAAAATAAGAAGAGAAGCGTGAGACAAGCCATTATTTTCTTGACATGCAGGGCGATTCCTGAATGATGTCTGTGTCCACCTGTAATTGTGTTGCTGCTACCTCACTGTCGATGCAAGAGGTTTTTGAATGTATGGCTTCTGACAATGACAGTTCAGGAAAAGACCAAAGTTCCTTGACATCTTAAAGACTAAGAAAAGGGGAAAATACTCTGCTGATTAAAGAAAGCTTACTGGACCTAGCCCAGCCCATCTGGCTGATGCCAGCATTGAAGTGGAAGGCTAATTGCCTATACCATCTGTCTCTAAGAGGGCTAATTGCTGACATCAGATATCAGCAGGGGTTCCTGCATTTCTTCAAGTACCTATTTGGTAATCTCAGAAGCCAGAGAAAGAAAGAAGGGCTCCTATTTCTGAAAGGTATGGCATACATAAGACTGATTTTGGAGAAACGACACCTAGTTCTCTGAGACTGAGGTACTGAGGACCACTGCCTTGAGCTCGCAACACAGACTGGGACTGCAGTAGGTCTGAATTTAGGAATATATGCCACGTGGTAAGTATCCTAAGGTAATGAAAAATGTTTATTACATATATATATATGTAGCCTAAAAATATCTTCTTGTATCCTATAATGTTCCCAAACATCTTTCTGGACAGAGTCATCACGCTTAATCATTATTTTCAGCTGAAATATTTGTCCTTGCACAGAACAAGATCTTCCATGTAAATCTATCCCCAGAGACTACCAAAAAGCTTAGATGTCTTCTGTTGCAATTAAAATTTCAAGCCCTTACCTTGCACTACCTTACATATCAAACTTCTCACCAAAAAAAGTGGTCTGAAGATGAATTCCAGAAAATAAATTATTTCATCCAATTTAGACAGCAGCAAGGATAAAGATACAATGCAACTTTTGTCCTTCTGCAGGAAGAACTGATCTATAATGTGTAAGCACAATCGCTAGCAGAGAGGAGTGAAAACTGGATGTCCTCACTGACACAAGCTCCTGAAGATGCCAACCGCGCTAAATATGACAGGAAAATGTCCCCAGCCACAGTTTTGGAAGCCTTTTTCCTAGGAGGGACTGAGAGAGACCAAGTGGTCAGTGAAAACTGGACTCAGATACGATGGGAGAAAGGCAGGATTTAGTTGTTCTAGAGAAGTTTTTAAAGAGTCTATTTGGAAGAACGCAGATTTGGACAGGCTGGCACCAGTTGCTATTATAACATACAAAGTGAGGAAGTGAATATTGCAAAACAAGCAAAGCTACTTAGTCAAGTTGAACAGAAGAATTATTATTTCCTAGGCAGGCCTCCAGGTGTAATAGGCACTTAACATACTGCCAGAGAGGAAGCAGAGTTCTGAATTCAAACTGTGCCCTGCTGCTGGGGAAGACAAGACAGGGCAGGGCTGTGGAAACACTGGAAGGATTATAGCTCACCTTCACCTCCTGCAACAAGCTCTAATTAACATGAGGATCAGTATGGACAGGATTCAAGGGAAACTGTGAACAGCCCACAAGAGATTTGTGAGGAACCAATTCTGTTACTTAATCTACAAATAATGGTAGGAATTTAGACTGGGAAATTGATGTAGGTCTCGGAAGAAGATTCTTCCCTGATTGTTTCAGATGAGGAATGCAGTGAATATTACTAGTTGTCTGAGAAACAAGGTAAGGAGCCTATCACATGAAGACTATTACCTTAAAGGAAAAAAAATCTCAGGGCATTACCTAGAGCTTTCCTCATACCAGGCTTAGGACAAGACACTTTGCTCAGATATCTCAAGTGATTGTGAGTGACTGTCATCTGCATGTTCCTGAAAACCCCATGTTGGGACCTTCAGACAGTGCGGCACAGGCGGGCAAATAACTTGCAGGGATGACAGAATTTTTCATTTTCAAAAGTAAGCTATCCATAATTAAAATCAGAGAATACTAGCTGAAAACATTATTGAAAAAGTACTTATTGCCAGCATTTTGTATCCTTCTCTCAAGAGTCAGAGAATGTTAACTGTTAAAAGAGAATATTAAATGCTGAAGAGAAGCCAGGTGACTTTAGAAATTCTCTAAAAAAAGTCCTTGTTTTCCATTGTGAAATGTTCCCAAGAAGTGTTTTAAAATATAATTGTACGTGTAGGAACAATTACAGTTTTGTACTGCAAGGGGAGCTGTTGGCACATAATACTACAATTGTGCATTAGATCAGCCACTAGCTTCTGTAATACCCACTTCCAGCTATAAGGAGTCATGTTTCAACACCTCCGATTCCCTGACGCTGACAAGCTAAACAACTTGTTTTGTCTCTGGGAGCTCTTCTCTGGTGATTAACTGCTTATGGTGAATACTAATTATATGAAAGTACAGTACAGTAGAAATAGTGTCCTATTTCCTCTACCTGAGGCATCTCCATCCTCTTCTGTAGAGACAGTGCACTAGTAATTCAGCTAAAACCAAGAAGATTACATTTTTCAGGACCACAAATAGGTTAATCTGTCTCTTACAGCAAAACTTTATCTTCCTGTCTTGCACAATAAGTTTAAAGGCAAAACACTGCGCATTTGTAAATGTCTGTAATAATTCTAGAAATAAATTTGCAGCACAATGTGTGCAAATGAGTTCTGTTGGTGGTAAAGGCAGAGCAATGTCCCCAATTCCCCAGGTCCCAGTTTGAAGATTTACCCCAAATTATCCATTCCTGAAACTGCACCTCAGACTAAAATTTTTCCACCAGGGAGTCTGTAAGAATTTGTTCTTCAATTTTAAACCTAAAGTGCCTTTTAAAACTCTAACACTGCAAAATTAGAAACCATTAAACAATGTAAGGCAGAGAGTGATTAAATCTACCAAACACATTCAAAGCAGCTTAAGCTACTTTTTAATTAAAAAGGAAAAGATATCACTGGCAACGTTCAGACATCTTTATCTAGATAAAGTTAGGAGATTATTCAAAACACAAAAGATGCTGATACTACCATGCAGGAGACTGAATGAAAAGACTTGAAGATTTCAATCCCTCCACCCTAGGTATACAGTCTTCGGGCAGAGAGGAACAGAACACAGCCAGTGCTGCAGTGTGATCACTCTATGTTTGCTGATTAAATAAGTGACACTAACAGCGGCCTTGGAGGGAGGCTGTGTGTTCCTCCTTCCTTCCTGACAGGATGGTGAGTGAAATCACAGTGGCTACAGCAATTGAGTAATGGGTAACAAGATGTACATATCAGGGAGGAAAGAAGATCAGTTAGTGTTTCAAGAGCCAGTTTTAATAGATAGAAAAAGGCGATACCTTACTGGTGGTATTATTTTTTTTAAGCAGCAAATTTAAATAGAAAACAGCATACACTTTAAAGGTACATTTAGACCCCAGTCTTGTGGCTCAAATTCAGGCTCCAAAGAAACAGACACAGTTCTGCTGACCCACTATAATTACGTCCACTTATTTTGTAGCCAAATTCAAACCTGCACCTTTAAGTTTTAGTATTCATTTAACGAAAAGAACAAGAAAAATGACCAGCAGTTTTAGTCAACCACAGGCAAAATGCCAGGAGCCAAAGATCAGCCTCCTTCAGGCTGAGATGATATCATCTACTCCAAGGTCCTGAAGCTCTGTGTCGGGAGTATTACAAAATTTACTGGTGAACAGCCTCATCTCTTACTTTCTTATTACATATGATCATTACTCTATTCCTCCGTTTAGTACAAAATCTGTGTTTTTAACATCTATTGTATCCAACTTTTTTTTTTTCTTCCCTTTGTCTAATAGAAGATTGGTCTTACCTAAAAAGTATGCCCTAAAATAAAGCACAGGTACTTGGTAGCTGCTGGAGTACAAGACATGATATTCATAGCGAATCACTTCTTCTGTTGCACAAATTCCAGCTACTTGAGAATCATCCGAAGACTCCTAAAGCAACAAACATGAACACAGTAATATATCAACTTTTGTATTTGTATCAAGGGAAGAGTAATTACTACGGTTGTAATAAATTCAATAAATATACAGAACAGAAATAATGGCAATCACCCCTTTCACAGCACTACTCATTTCAATTCCCAAAGGAATTTTTCAATACTAGCAAGAAAATCATGGAAGTCCAAGACCTACAAAGACATCTTACAGACTTACTTCCACAAACTGTGAACTATGTGTAAGCATTTGCAGAACTGAGGTCTTTCTAAGTGCAGACCGCTTTTGTAAGCAAAAGACAAAAGATCTCTCAAATCTTTACGGCACAATAACTGGTACAATGAGGTGACTACAGTTGCATATATCCTCATTACCTTTAGTATAGACCATTTTAAAAGTGTATCCTTAAAGAGTCTGGTTTTGCTTGCCAAAAGACAAAGCAAATGTATCTATCAAAAATTCTCTGTTCTACTTTCTTTGAAGGCTTTTTGCCAGGGGTTGGTTTTGCTAATAATACTTGAAAACTGAGACAATTTTTTCCTGTTAATGTATATTTTAGGTGTAAAGTAAGTAAAGTTTATTGTAGATTTGAAATAAATTAGAAGAGATGGATGCATTGAGATATACCCCAGTTGCAGCATAAATTTCCTAACATTTCAAATTAATATTCAAGCAGTACAGCATCGAGTTGTTTTGACTTTTCTAAAAATTGTTGATACTCAACATCTCTGAAAATGGAACCATTAAATTAATAATGCCATTAAGATTAAATGTTAGAACAAACTTTCCAAGAAGACACTATGTGTGTGGACTTGTTCGGTTTTCAAACCCCCAAATTTACATGCATGAACTAAGCAACTATAATGCCCCACAGGTTGGGTGTGCATTTCACAACTTGACTATTGCTAAGCAACTGTGAATATTGGCTTACTGCCTCTGTCCAAGCAAAATAAAAAAGACTGAACCAAAAAGAAGAACCAGCATCCTTTGAATACCATACTGGTTTAACACACAAGAAATTTAAAGCTATTTTGCATTTTTATCTCATATGCTTAACTCAACTGAGCCATGAATCAATCTACGAAGAGATACAAAATACTTTCAATTTTTTTTTATTTCCCCCAAATTTAGTGTATTAGACAACCAGATGCTGCTGAGACACATGGATAGAAGATCACGAATGGAGAGCCCAGACCTTGGGAAGCTACACTCCAAGGTACTGTAAATACATTTTTGGACATGAAATGAGAAAATCATAGATGCTTACAGAACCGAAGGTTTCTGGGAAATTCTGGACAGCTGTAGGAATGGTTGATTTTAGCTTATCAGGACACAGATATGTAAAGCACTGAAAGGGAACGTTAAAGAAAGCACTCTCTGTGTTAACCTAGTTTTAAGAACTGTACGTGAAGAGATACTAAAGACAACATGCTAGAAGGGACAATGATGATTACTGTATGTGACTTCACATACAGTTATGTGAACTTTACAACCAGGTAAAGTTAGGTATGCTATGCCCAGTTCCCATGTAAATGTGTAACAGACTAAGAAGGTAAGCTCTTTTCCTCCTCACACACATCATACCCTCTGATCAGATGTGAAATACAGATTAAAAAAAATCTCTTGAGGAAAATAGAAATTTCTTCTCTATAGTAAGCTGAACTTTCTTTAAAACGGGTCTGTTTTCAATGCTTTAGTGAGAATAGTAAAAGAAAGAACAGCAGCAGCATGTGGTAAAAGAAAACAAAAAACAACTACAGATTGCCTTTCAAGTTTGTAGGGGTGGGAAAGAGAAAGAGTCCATGTTCAGAACTGAACCTACATTAAAATTTACAAAAGCCTTTCGGATCAACCTCCTGGAATCAAAATCGTACTGCTTTACAGACATGAATGTTTCATCAGATATTATGGCCTTGCCTATTGCTTAGTCACTAGCTTACCTTGCCCTAAAAAAAGGGGCAAGGCATTACCTTCTCCTGGAAATGGCAAGACAACCTGTTCATGGCAAGACTACCTGTTCATGTACTAAATACTATTGTTCTAGAAAAAAGCTGTATGTCAACACATACTTTTCTCCCCTGCTTTCTGTATATAAGGGTAAAATGACTGTATACCCTCACATAAATACTGATACCTAATTTGTGACGATTTTAGACTGAATGATAAAGAAGCCATATTCTTTATTACCTCCAAATACTTAGGAAAAGCAGTAAGTTAATACTCACTCAAAAATGAAATACTCAAACCTGTATACCCTTAGGGAAATCATGCTTTATAAAAACCCTACTTACTCTCTCAGAAAGTCATAAATTAAGCTAGGAACTTCATCATTAAGAATTCAACTTACTGGGTTAGCACAGACTTCAGCTGGTGAGCAACTTCTATCTTCATTTTCTGGATTAGGAAAAGGAAAGCAAAGCAGAGACTTTCTAATTCCATTGTTCCTTGAGATGGCCACTGAAAATCTTAAGAATTCCTGCCATTACCAGATGTTAGAGGGTGAGGTACTTCCCAAAACATCCTACTACTTCCAGAGAAAGGTGATTTTATCCAGAAGTGGCCTTCCCAGAAGATGTACATAGTTTGATGGCAGGAGAGGCAGCAGAGAAGGGAAGAAGGCAGCTTTAATGCTTTACTGTTTTGGAAAGCAGAATATTCTTGGACACATTTATTTTGCATTATCCTGGATTTTTCTGACTGATAGTTTAGGCAGTTTCTGAAATCAAGCATCCAGCTGAATGCAAAGCTCAAAGAAGCTTTGAAACTGACATTCTTCTGCTCTGTAACAAGATGGACTTCATTCTACTACAAAGTTTCTACACTTACTCAAAGTAAGTTTCTGATGTTCAGATGTCTTCTTCTGCTGTTTCTAGTGACAAGCGGGCACATTGTATTTGTGATCTGCATACAAAGGCAGATAGCTGAATCCTTCTTAGGGCTACCTCTAATTCCCTTTCCTTTTGGTAAACAGCAGTTTCAAGACTTCTTTCATAAAAAGATACAGCATTGATGTATAATCCTGTACTTTACAGTCTCTGTAAGTACAACGCACAGTATTTATGCAGGGAAAGTACATTTTGGAGCCTAAAAGTTTTGATGGTATCTCTCTAGCTGATGAGATGAACTTTGCTGATGAGATGAATAAAATGAGTACAGTTATTTTAGGCGATCTTTGGAACATCTAAAAATCTATGCATGGCTGAATAAAGCCATGGAGCCTCAGAGAGTTTTGTATCAGCCCAAAAGAAGAGATTTATTTTTCACTCTTTAACCAACTACTGATAAAGCCATAAATATAAAATGCAGGTGTAACTTATTAAAAAAAAAAAACCCACAGGATTTTATTTTTATAAATATTGTCATATGATAGCCTATTTAAATTTTTTCTTCAAGTAATTGTTCTACTTTCCTTTTCTATGTATACTGTTGTTCTATCTCTTTTTGAGCTAATGCTAAATTTTAGTTACTGTAATAGACAATATCAAAATCAAACTTTGGAAGATTTTGTAACTGCTGCAAAACATTCATACATGTACACACATCACAAAACAAATTCATAATTTTGCTTAGATCTTCTAAAGACAAGACAAACATACCTGAGTTAATTAAAAAAACCCCACATTAACAAAAAAGGGGTTTTGACCAAATTGCAATCATTAAAAATGCTATGAAGTAATTTGATTTCTCAATTTTTTTGTTTCTGCTTTGCAAATTTGCTTGCAAGCTTGCCATGCTTCAAGTTAAAACTGTGAATCCAGGACTCACTGACTGTTTCCTAAACAAACTGGGAAGTTGTCATCAGGAAGCATCTGCTCCTCTATTGCTGTCACGTAAAATCATTGTCGTGCTATCATAACGGACTATTGAGCAGATGTTTAAAAGCAACTTATGTATTAGAAAAAAGATAAGCAGCAACTACCTAATTAATTATATTAGTTTCATGATAAATGAATTACCACTAAATTTAATTGATATAAAATTGTTCTCAACCTTTAAGTATCCCCTAAACAAATTAAATTGATTTGTTCCTTTTAAAATGCTAAATTATTTAAATCAAGAGATAGGAAATGTCATTCTGAAGGCAAAATAACGTATTTGTACTATTTTTATTCCTCCTGATGAAAAAGGCAAGTTAAAAACCCCTGGTAACAAGTTAATTTGACAGCAGGAGAGAGTTAATAGAGTGTTTTGATACTCTTTAGTAGTAACTGTGCTCTGCAGACTGAAGAGCAGCAGGAAGGTATGGGTTAAGGCAGGCTACCTTTGGAGGGAGGGTTCCAAAGGAAAGGGAAGGGCCAGGGAAGTGACAGAGAGGGTAAACAGGGAAGGCGACAGAATTACCTGATAAAAAAGGGATTTTTCTGTGCTGACGCCAAACATTTCCCTCTCTCCACCTTACCCGCAGAGGCCAGTTGAGCAAGCCTTCCTTGCTCAGCCCAAATTCCCTTTGAAATGCAGAAGCAGGCCCTAATGCCCTTTTTTGGGGAAAAGCTAAGAGAAGTTGTTTAAAGAACAGCAGGCACTTTTCTCCTGGATCTCAAGTCACTGTTGCCTTTCTCCCAATTCCCATGTTCCTCATCTCTGTTCTTGCTATCTTGACCCCTATTTCCTCCTGCTGCAGGCCAGCCTCCTGGGAAATTCTCCTGCAGGAGCATGGCAGGATTGGGCTGCAAGCAGGAAAGGGAGGAAGAGGTGA